AATGCCCCCCCACGAAGTGGGGGTATTGCCTGGCGTCGTATGAAAACCCTGGCACTGGTGAGAACACAGCGTTCGGGTAAAATGATTGTTGGTTGTTGTTGTTGTTGTTGTTGTTGTTGAACATTATTACTTCTAAAGAATAATTATTGTTGGGGCCCCTGGTGCACGGCCCCCTCGCCGCGCCTAGGCCGCAGCCTCATTTTCATAATTTTCGTGAGGAAGTCTCAGGCAAAATGGGGAGTCCGGATCCGGTTGTGTTGTTACGATCGGTTTTCCCTTGCAAAAAATAAGCTAAAGTGGACATTTCTTGTTCTAACATAACCAAACTTCAAGAATCCCTTGCAAAAAAATAAGGTAAAGTGGACATTCGCGCGCGCAAGACGAAATCCTTCCAAAACCTTAGTTTTCGTAGCGATTTAAACATAAAAACATCAAAAAAAAAAAAAAACAATGGTTTTTCAAAAAATTAGCCTGGCGAAGGACCCAACCATATGCAGTTGTGAATATTGCAAATATGAATATCGTTTTCGGTGGCGCTACCTCTGGGTAGGGGAGACGCATGCGAATACCCCCACTGGGGCCTTCGGTGGAGCTCCCTATGGGGCTACGAAACGCTGCCCTGTGTGGGGGAACCGCATGCGAACACCCCCACTGGGGCCTTCGGTGGAGCTCCCTATGGGGCCACGAAACGCTGCCCTGGGTGGGGGAACCGCATGCGAACACCCCCACTGGGGCCTTCGGTGGAGCTCCCTATGGGGCTACGAAACGCTGCCCTGGGTGGGGGGGGACCGCATGCGGCAGCCCCACTGGGGCCTACGGTGGAGCCCCTATGGGGCCACGACAGCGTTTGCCCTGGGTGCGGGAACCGCATGTGGACACCCCCACTGGGGCCTTCGGTGGAGCTCCCTATGGGGCCACGAAACGCTGCCCTGGGTGGGGGAACCGCATGTGGACACCCCCACTGGGGCCTTCGGTGGAGCTCCCTCTGGGGCTACGAAACGCTGCCCTGGGTGGGGGAACCGCATGTGGACAACCCCACTGGTGGAGCTCCCTATGGGGCCACGAAACGCTGCCCTGGGTGGGGGAACCGCATGTGGACACCCCCACTGGGGCCTTCGGGGGAGCTCCCTATGGGGCCACGAAACGCTGCCCTGGGTGGGGGAACCGCATGTGGACACCCCCACTGGGCCCTTCGGTGGAGCTCCCTATGGGGCAACGAAACGCTGCCCTGGGTGGGGGAACCGCATGTGGACACCCCCACTGGGGCCTTCGGTGGAGCTCCCTATGGGGCCACGAAACGCTGCCCTGGGTGGGGGAACCGCATGTGGACACCCCCACTGGGGCCTTCGGTGGAGCTCCCTATGGGGCCACGAAACGCTGCCCTGGGTGGGGGAACCGCATGTGGACACCCCCACTGGGGCCTTCGGTGGAGCTCCCTATGGGGCCACGAAACGCTGCCCTGGGTGGGGGAACCGCATGTGGACACCCCCACTGGGGCCTTCGGTGGAGCTCCCTATGGGGCTACGAAACGCTGCCCTGGGTGGGGGAACCGCATGTGGACACCCCCACTGGGGCCTTCGGTGGAGCTCCCTCTGGGGCTACGAAACGCTGCCCTGGGTGGGGGAACCGCATGTGGACACCCCCACTGGGGCCTTCGGTGGAGCTCCCTCTGGGGCTACGAAACGCTGCCCTGGGTGGGGGAACCGCATGTGGACACCCCCACTGGGGCCTTCGGTGGAGCTCCCTATGGGGCTACGAAACGCTGCCCTGGGTGGGGGAACCGCATGTGGACACCCCCACTGGGGCCTTCGGTGGAGCTCCCTATGGGGCCACGAAACGCTGCCCTGGGTGGGGGAACCGCATGTGGACACCCCCACTGGGGCATTCGGGAGAGCTCCCTATGGGGCTATGAAACGCTGCCCTGGGTGGGGGAACCGCATGTGGACACCCCCACTGGGGCCTTCGGGAGAGCTCCCTATGGGGCTACGAAACGCTGCCCTGGGTGGGGGAACCGCATGTGGACACCCCCACTGGGGCCTTCGGTGGAGCTCCCTATGGGGCTACGAAACGTGTGAGAGGTGTGCCGAGAGCAGGGGCTGTGCCGAGAGCAGAGGCAAGGAGGGGGAGGAGGGGGCAGCGGAGGAGTGGACGCGGGGCGCTGTCTCTTCAAAACGAGGACCCAACACCACAGGATGGTTGGGAAAAAATGTCAAAATTTCATCCCGCGCGCTCTTGCGGATTCGTAGGAAACCCAACACTTTTTAAACATTTCTGTCAACCGGGCTTTTGCGAACAACTTTTTCGAACTTCTGCAACAACGGTTGCGCACCTGCCAGGGCCATCATCCCTGTCAAATAATACCATGCGGGACACATTCGTTTTTTCTTCGCGCGCGCACGCCGTCGTCGTCGGCCGCGGGGCCCTGAATAGTAGCCACGGTCGTCCGCATGCCACGAAGTGAAGTGTCCGAACGTCATAGGGCGGGAAGCTGGGTGTGGGTGGTGGCGAAGAGTCGTTTGGAAATTTGGTAGAGCTTGAACCGGCCCCCCCACAAAGTGGGGGTATTGCCCGCCTCCTATGAAA